TCAAAGTTTAAATTTCTGGGTTTTTACCTGCTGGGATTAAGCCCATTTCCACACTGGGAAGCTCAGAGCCTGCAGGAATGACACAGCTGAGCCCCACAAGGGCAATGGGGGTTTTCCCTCCACCTAATCTGCTCCCCAAACCCCAAAAGTCTCCGTGTGTGTGTGTGTGTGTGTGTGTGTGTGCATGTGTGAGCTTGAGCAGGGCAGAGGGACAGAGCCAAGCAGAGCAGCAGCCCCGTTCCAATCACACTCCCTCCTCTGATTGCCTCGAGATTGATCTTTGGAGTCTCTCTCTCCCTAACCCTCCCTGATTTTTGCTGAACTGTTGTTGTGTTTCTTTTTGACTCAACATCAGGAAAATGGCTCCCTTTGTCCCTCATGTCTTTGCAGTCAATTTGGTGCAACCATCTCAGTTTGTTGATTTATTTCATGAGGAAATCTTCAGGTTGTTGTTTTGTTTTTTTTTTTTTTTTCTTCCCTGCTTGAATGAAAATGATTTAACAGGGGAAAAAAAAAATCAACAAACCTGGTAATTAAATAAGGGAAAATAACATCACCAGGGTGAATTGCAATGAATAATCCTAGAGAAAAGCCCCAGCAGGGAAACAGCTGGGGTGTCTTTGTACATAAAGCACAGGCTCGTTGTGGGCTGTGACACAGCTCTGTTTGCTTGTACAGCTCCCTGAATTCACACTGGGAAGGAAATGAGGGATTGGCCCAAATTCACCTGAATTTTGGGTCACTGACCTCTCTCACTGCTTGCTCACCTTCCCCACCCACCCTGAGGTACTGCGAGCTTTGTTATCCAGGATGAGGCTGGGAAAAGGGAAGAGGGAAAAGGGAAAAGGGAAAAGGGAAAAGGGAAAAGCACCACAAAAGGCTGATGTGCCTGTTCCTGGCCAGGGGTCCCTGCCAGGGGAGGGGATGAGGCACTGGCCCCCAGCCCCAGCAGGGTGAAGGCGTTGCCCAGGCACAGACCCAACCCAGAGGGCCACACCAGCTTGGGACTGGTGTGAAATGGGACAGTTCCTGCCCAGCAGCAGCTCCCTAGCACCGAGATGGAGAGGAGCTGTGGACAGCTTCCCTGTCCCAGCTGGAAGCTCCCACTTGCTCCTTGCCAGGTCCCACGGGGGCATTTTCCAGCTCCTTAGCACCTCTGATGAAAGTGGGGTGGGAGAAGCAGGGGATTTTTCGCTTGAGGGTCCCAGAGAGGTGGCCCAGGTCATGTGTGGCACTCCAGCCTGGCAAAATCTGCCCTCTGAGGGACATTGGGGCACAAAGGGACAGGTGACACCACCAGCAGAGCACAGAGCAGCCCAGGCTGGCCCTGCTGCTGAGCCCTGCACGGTCCCAGCCCATTCCCTCCCTGCAGGATGCAGGTGGTTCTTCACTTTGGCCTCTCTCCTGAGCTCACCCCTGCACTCAGGTGGGAACAGGGATCACTTTCTGCTTGATGATGCTGGAAAAACTCATCTAATTCCCTTCAAGGGTCCCCTCAGAGCAATTTAACCCAGAGAAGGCAGTGATGCTATTACTGGACCAAAAACAGCTCTCAGATGAAGCATCAATCTGATTTTCTTCCCCCACACTTCTTTTCTCTTCCACCTTGCTATGGATTAATGGCTAATCACTCAGCTAATTACCCCCCCAAGAGTCTCTTGGCCATCTAGCTGACCTTGCAAGGGACAGCAAGAAGCAAATGACAGCACAGAGGTGGCATTTCTCCGTGGCTGAGGTGATAATTGCACCAGGGGAGCAGTGCTGAAGAGCTCAAGGATGAGAGAAATGCAGCACTGAGCCTTGAACTCGCAGGGTGCCTCACTGCTGTGCCAGGCAATGCTGTCTAAGGATCTTCCACTCCAGGTTCTGGATGAAAAATGATCATTTGACCCCTTTTCTGAACCACTCTGAGCAGGTAAGTGGCTGAGCTAAGTCCTAAATTTGGGCTGGTGCAAAAAGGGCAGGAAAAGGTGCTGCAGCAGGAAGGGAATGGTGCACAGGCTCTAGCTTGGAAATCCCACACTGCTCCACTCTCTCCTTCCCTTTTCCCTGCTCCCACTGGGGTTTTGAGCCCTCACTCAGTGGACAGTGTGTGAATGGGCAATAAATAAGCCAAGGAGGCTACAGCTCCAAAAATGACACCTTCAAAGGCAAGCTAATGACTCCCAAAGCACATTTCTTATGGTTCTTTTGCTCGTCCCTGAATTTTGGAGCAGCCCTGACCTCTCCCAGGCCCTCATTTGCACCTTTGCACCTTTGCCCTTTAGGACACAGAGCTGTGGGGTCAGCCTGGTGGGAATTGCCCAGACCTGAGCAGTGGCCTCAATGTGAAGAATCCCTGCTGGACCCTGCAGATTTTAGAAAAGATTGTTTTCTGCCAAAGCCACCCCCTCAGAGGGTGTGCCTGTGCTGGGGCAATCTGCAGGGCAGGGTCTGTGCCACTGATCTCACCGGTGCCTGCTGATGCCTGCCCAGAGCCTGGTTGGTGTTGCACTGTCTCCATCCTGCTCCCAGGGGCTCAGATCTGAAGGATTATTCACTCCAGAGATGGACTTTGTTGGGAATTCTCCCTGCACCACACACTGAGCCAGATTACAGGCTCTCCCTCTGGGGGAATCAAAGCCCTGTGTGTGCTGCTCTCCCAAGGCACCGGAGGGAAGTCATTCCCACCCCTAATCATCACTAATCAGAGCTTTGGAGAGACGTTAAGAGGTTTTTATTCCCGTTATTGGGGGCTTTCCTGTTAGCAGGGTGCTCCTGGTGGCAGTGGGGATGGTTGAGCCTGAGGAATCCCAAGGGAATCTCTGCCTGTCCTGGCCCTGAGAGGACACAGAGCAGCCTTCCTGGGGCATGTGGCTGTCCAGGGAATCTCTGTCCTGCCCTGAGAGGACACAGAGCAGCCTTCCTGGGGCATGTGGCTGTCCAGGGAATCTCTGCCTGTCCTGAGAGGACACAGAGCAGCCTTCCTGGGGCATGTGGCTGTCCAGGGAATCTCTGTGTGTCCTGGCTCTGAGAGGACACAGAGCAGCCTTCCTGTGGCATGTGGCTGTCCAGGGAATCTGTGTGTGTCCCAGTCCTGAGAGGACACAGAGCAGCCTTCCTGGGGCATGTGGCTGTCCAGGGAATCTCTGTCCTGCTCTGAGAGGACACAGAGCAGCCTTCCTGGGGCATGTGGCTGTCCAGGGAATCTGTGTGTGTCCTGCTCTGAGAGGACACAGAGCAGCCTTCCTGTGGCATGTGGCTGTGGTGCCAGAAGGCAGGAAGCCTGAGGGGCTGGCAGGAACAGCAGAGAGATTACAGCCCTACAATTGGATTGCCCACTGCCCTACCCCACTAATGCAATCAGGGCACGCTGGGGAGGGCTCAGGCTCTGGTCTGCACCGAGCACCTCACAGGAAAGGAAAGCTTTGGAGGCTGCCTGGATCAGAGATCTGACCTTGACTCATCTGTGTGGGTCTGCCTCTCCAGCCTCCTCCCTTTCTGCAGCAGGATAACTGCTGTGGAACAAAACCCAGCGGGTAAGGCAGGAGGAGAATTAGTCCTGCTATTTTTAGATGTGCATGACAATACAGCTCAGAAAACTGGGGATTTCTTTTCAAACAAAAGATTTATTTATACATCGAATTTAAAAAGAAAAAAAAAAAATAACCCACGAGAAGAAAAATAAGCCCCAATCCCAGTGAATCTAATTTGGAGATGGTCGGTGTGAGACAGAGGGCCCTGAAGTCTGGAATCCCATTTATTCACAGAGCAGAGATAGCAGCAATCCAAACCTCCCCAGCACAACGCCGTGGCTCAAGGCAAGGAGGGAAAGATCAATACCCCAGGCTCAATCCCTCCTACCCTGTCTGCCAAGCCTGTGCTCAGGAGAGGGATGTGATATTGGAAAAGTGGCAATCAATGCCACCTACGTGGTGCAGCCACGGGCTGGGGTTGTTGCTAGGAGAGAGAGAGAGCGAGAGAGAGGAGAGAGAGAGAGGAGCACCCCCGTGCTCTGACCAAAATAAAAAATAAAGTGTAAACACATGACAATTAAGTCTTAGTGGTATAATAAAATAAACCTCAGGGGCTGGTCCTGCCCTGCCTGGCTGTGCAGAGCAGAGCTGAAGGCAGTGAATGTGTGGAAGCAAAGTGTCCTCAGTTGGTCCCTTCCCCAGTGGATGTGCCCGGCCCAGGGGTGCCCCAGTGAACTGCTCTGTGGCTGGTACCAGCAACAAGAACAAAAAGAGCCAGCCTTTCTCTGAGCCATCACAGGGGGAAAAGTGTCAGCAATAAATACTCCTTTTCTTTCGTTTAAAAGAACACTCAAACAAAGACGGAAAAATGAAAAGCCAGGCGATAATAAATCGTAGGAGGAAAATGGCAGTTTTGTTTCCCTGCTCTGCTATCAGCCCCTACACCTGGGGTTTGGTCTAGGGTGGTTTTTTTCCCCCCTTTCTCCTCATTTTCCTTTTATTGAGTCATTAAAAACTGAGTGTGGTTCTCTCCAGGTGTGCAGCAGGCAATGGGAATGTCACCCAGACCCCACCAAAAAAAAAAACCAAAAAAAAAGTGATTAGGGGGGAAAAAAAACCCAAAATCCATTCACCTGATAATGGCACCTATGTTTCCATTGCCATAAAACTCTCCTGGCCTCTGTCCTACGGACAGCCCACCTGCCCCCCTCCCAGGGTTAAAAAACAAACAAAGAAGACAACATACAAACAAATTTCCAGTGTTTCAGGGGGCTGGGAGTGGGAGGAGGAAGCCTCGGGGAGGGAAGGGCACTCTGAGACATGAAGACACAAACAGAGTGTAATATACAGGCTGGGCAACAGTCGTTAAAGCAAAGAGTAACACCTAAGCCACCGACCAATACAAACACCACAGAAGGGGACGAAAGTCGTCGAAGAGAGAAATTAAAAAAGCCAAAAACCAAAACCGAGAGAAAATAATTACCCGACCTCCCGCCCGCCCTCCCGCACGAGCCCCGCCCCCCCTCCCCAAAAAATGATCCGTAAGCAAAGCCACCCTCCCTCCCCGCTGGCCCCCAGCATCCAAAAAGTCTGTGCGGGGCCGGGGCGTGCGCGGGAGGGATGCAGGGGAGGGAGGGCATCGTTGGTGAGCGTTTGTGAGTGAGTGTGAGTGCGTGTGAGTGCAGCAGAGGGGCGTGGAGCTACACGTACCACTCCTTTTTGGAAATAAAAGAGCCGTCGTTCTGCGACACCATGTTCTCGGCCAGGTCGAGCTGCTCGGGGTCGTACTGGAAGCCGAGTGTCCTCTCGTCGTAAGGTTCGGGGTGGGCCTCGCCCTCGTCCACGGTGAAGTAAGGCCTCTTGGCATCCTCCTCGTAGGCTTTGGGGCCGCCCAGCTTGCGCTCTCCTCCCGCATCCTCATCCTCGTCCTCGTAGGTGCTGCCGCCCAAGGGGCCCGGCTTCTTCTCGTCGTCCGAGTCGTCGGGGTACTGCAGGTTCTGGGCCATGGGGGGGTGGTGCTGTGGGATGCCGGCCTTGCTGTAGCCGTTGCCGTACACGTGCTTCTTTGTGCTGTAGTCACCCTTGAAGGTGTGACGCCGGCGCCGGAGTACCACAAAGAGCACCACGGCCACCAGCAGGACCAGCGAGACGCCTCCCACTATGCCCCCAATCACCGGTGTGGGGATGTTCGGCTGCACCATGGATTTGTGATCATCGATTGGAGACGGGGTGTAGGGAAATTCTGGGTAGGAAAAGACAGATGGAAGGGGGAACAGTGTCAAACCATGCGGAAACGCGCCCTCCCCTCCATGCTCTCATTGCCAGTTTGGGGCGGGGGGTGAGGGGGTGGGAAGATGAGGGTAAGGAACAGGGAAGGGAAAAACTGGGGAAAGGGGAAGAGGGGCGTCCTCACGGGGTCAGCTCTGCCTCAGCAAGGGGAAGGTGCCGTGCCAAGCTGGCCAAGCCTCATGCAGGAGCCCAGCAGGCTGGAAGCAGTGGTTTTACCCTCCCCAGCCCTCCTGGTGCCTCCAGGCGTGCTCAGATCCCACCAGACCTGAGTCTCGAGTCCGGACGCGCTGCGTTTTACCAGCTGACAGAATTCCAGCTCCCCTGAGAGTGCTCCTGACAGGGAGCAAACCCCAAACCCCACCCGAGGGTGGGCATAGACAGGCGCCACGTTGGACCCACCAGCTCTGCATCCCTCTGCTCCCAGCCCAGCCCAGATTAGAACCGAGGCAGCAGCACCTTGTGATCCCCCACCCACAGGTCCCCTGTGGCTGCTCAGAGCCCTGCTGGCTCCTGACCCATTGTGCTGACCCTGCAGCATGAGGACACAGCCCTCCCACTGCTTCTTCCCCTTCCCTGGCCAGCACAGTGCCACTCCTGCTAATCTTGCTCCTACCCTGACCTATTTAAAAAAATAAATAACTCAAAAGGAGGTAGAGGAAAGAGATGAGAAAGCAGCTCTGTTCTCTTTCATGCAGTTCAACACCTACACTTTGGCACAGATAAAGTTTGAGCCAGGACTTCAATCAACCTTCCTGGGCACAGGTACAGCCCCTGGCTGGGCTCAGAGCCTGTTGAACATCTGTGTCCAGCAGGCATTAGACACCACATGGCTGTCTCAGCCCTTCTCCTGCCTCCTAATTCAGGCAGCAGGTGCCCTCTTAATGCCCTGTGGCAGCCTTGTTTTTACATATGAGACCTCTCCCAGTGCTTTTCCCACCTCCAAGGCCTCTCTGCCAACCCTGGAGCCTCCTGGCCTTCACTTCTTCCCCCAGCAGCCAAGGAGAGGTGCAGAGCCAGCAGCAAAGGCAGCATCCCTGAGCACAGCCAGGGTTGTGGGGGGCTCACAGGCAGCAGATTCCAAAGGGATGAGAGGCAGTGACTGCTGCCCACCCCCCTCCATTCCCTGCTGGCACAGCTTTGCCCAGCCACTGAGGGAGAAGGGACAAAGGAGCTTCCCCCAGGTGAAGGCACTGCAACAGCTGCAGGTTTTGGACAAGGGCACTGAATTCGAGCAATTGCTGGCCTGAGCCATAAATGTTTTAGGGGTTTTTTTTTGGTGCCTGGAAGATGATTAATTCCTGCCTTTCCTGAAACATCAACCTGACAACAGCGCCTTGGTTTCTGCAGTGCTGACTTGCCTGGAGCAGAGCCTCCTGAGGCTGAACCCACACAGAGAGCAGCCCACTGGGCAGAGTGGGCTGGGGGACAGATGGAGGGTCCCTGCTGCAGCCAGAATGAGGAGCAGGATGCTGTGCAGGCAGGAGCCAGCATTTTTTTCCCAAGGACAGCCTTAGAGAAGCAGCAAGGGCATGTCTTGCAGCACAGGGAGCCAGGGCTGGGCTGGGGAAAGCCAAAGCCACATGTTGCATCAACAGAAGGCCTGTCCCAGCCAGCTGCTTAATGCAGAACCTCTCTGCAGGCAAGCCAGGGACAGTCACGTCCATCCCCTCGTGGTCCTGCCTGCTGAGGGCTCAGCTTCAACCACACAACATCCACGCTGTTCCCTCTACCCCTGCCCAAGCCACCCCCTGGGGCTGCTCCTCGCTGTCCCAGCCTCTGTGGTGCCCAGTTCCCAAAGCTGTGCACGGAGCAGGGGAGGCCTGGAGGCTGAGTGGGAGCAGGGGAAGCCAAGCAAGTCCCCATGGGCTCAATCTTTCATTTTCCCACAGCTCTGAAGCCTCCTCACACCCTGCTGTTCCCCACAGCAAGGCTGAGTCTGTGCATGGCCCCACAGGTCCCAAAACCCACCCTAAAAAAACCCAGATGTGGTGTGCAGATCCCTCAAACCTCAGAGATTCCTCTGCCTCCCAGCTCTGAGAGCAGATCTGAGAGGGGAAGGCTGTGCCTGATTTCTAAAGGAGCTTGGCCCACTTTCCTGGTAAAAGCCTCATTGACAGCCCAGGTTGGATGTGTAAAGGCAAAAGGGGGGATGTTTTCCTACCTTTCTCAGCAGATATTTATTTTTTCCCTGCCCTTTGTGCTGCCCACCCCTGAGGCAGCACTCGCCACCCCCATGGCACTGACAATGCCATGGACATGAGCAGGAACACATCCATCCATCCCTGTGTCTGTCCATCCATCATCCATCTATCCATCCATCCATCCATCCATCCATCCATCCATCATCCATCCATCATCCATCCATCCATCCATCCATCCATCCATCCATCCCTGTGTCCTCCATCCATCCATCCCTGTGTCCGTCCATCCATCCATCCATCCATCCATCCATCCATCCATCCATCCATCATCCATCCCTGTGTCTGTCCATCCATCATCCATCATCCATCCATCCCTCCATCCATCCATCCATCCATCCATCCATCCATCCATCCATCCATCCATCCATCCATCCATCCATCCCTGTGTCCATCCATCCATCCATCCATCCATCCATCCATCCATCCATCCATCCATCCATCCATCCATCCCTGGTGGATTTCACACGTTCCTCAGTCAAGGATCTCTTTCCTCCCTTCATCCCATCCCCACCCTCCATTCCCATGCCAGAAAAAACAAACCCAGACTGTGGGCAGGGAGAAAGAAAGAAAGAAGGACGACAGGGGGAAGATCAAATCACCCCCTCCTCACCCACAGAGCTCCTCCCTCCTCATCCTCCCTCCAGCACCGGGCCAAGAGGGGCTCTGAGGATCAGGGGGTGACCCTGGGGTGGGTCGGTGTCGGGGGAGGAGGGGGTCCGGCCCCTCCAGAGCCCGGCACTGCCACTGGATGGCGGCACAGACCCGCGCTGGCTCCGGAGCAGGGGGGCCCTTCCCTGTTCCCGGGCGGGAAGGAGGGACAAGGTGCCTCGGCACTGGCACGTGCTGAGCGGGGACCAGCGTGTCACCTGTCCCCGCATCCAGATCCATTGGCCACCAGGATATCCAGCAATCCCACAAACTGGGACCCACCCCGTTTCAAACAGAGCAGCGCCAAGGGGAGAGGGGGAAGTGTGGGAAAAGGAATCCCCTTTTTTTGTGTCCAAGGTGGGGGGGGGGGGGGGGGGGGGCGTGAAATTTCTGGAACCCTGAGCCTGCTCGGAGGCCCCATGTGAAAAATCCATTAGGAAGAGTCTGGAGAGAATTAAAGCCCCTGTGAAAAGCAGCCTGGAGAAACAGGAGACAGCGGAGCCGAGGGAGGGGGAACAAGCCAGGCTTTAATGCCAGCATGAAAAGCCTCCCCCCCTGCCACCCCCCAGCCCTTATAAAAAGAGGGAGTGCTGTATGAATAGGAATTAAAGCAGCAACACTATCTGCCCGTGCCCAGCTCTGCCAGCTGTTGCATTCAGCCCAGCTTCCTGTCCCCGTGCCAGCAGCCAGACCTTGGGGACAGCAGCTGGGAGAGCAGGCAGAGAGACAGGAGCTCAGCCCGGGCTCAGCCTGGCACCTGGCCCAGCCCACAGGTTCCCTTTGATCCCTTTGCAAGGCTCCAGGCATCTCCTGCCCTCTTCCTGCAGCAGCCCAGGGCTGAGCAATGAGGCCACAAACTTCCCCAAACCTTCCCCATCACAAGAGTGGCTTCAAAAGCAGAGGTTTGAAAGAATCCCATCTTTTTCCTAATGGCTGTTTTTCAATAAAAATGAGGCGCATGCAAATCATCACACCTGTCCATCAATCCTTTATCTGCTGCTTGTTTGAACCTGCTGGCCAATTTTAGTGCTGTGTGACAGAAGGAGCTGAAATTGTCCCTATCAGAAAGCTCCTGGAGACGGCTGGAGCGGGATCCTTGGTAGAGGTGGGAGCCAAACCTCATTAGACATCAGAGAACCCAGAGGGACAGGAGGCTGTTCCCAGGAGCAGGAAGAGCCCAGATCAGAAAAAGGGTATTTTTAGACACCCAGTAATTCTTCTGTGATATGCAGATCCACTGGAAATCAGCTTTCAAAAGCTCTTCTGCTCATCTGCTGGGATATTTTAAAAGACTGCTTCCTGTGGCCATGTTTTTCCTTTAAGCCCCATTACCATCCTTTTCCCCTCAATCCTAAGGACCAAGGGAAAAAGCAGCACCAGCCCAAATTCTCTCTGTAGCCACAGGCACTGAAGAAAATGTCAAACTCCATGAGGAATTATCTGCTGGACATGTGTCAGCCCAAGCTCTTCCAGAGGAAGACTCTGGATTTCCTTTTGCTTTGGAAAACCAAACGTCCACACAACGTGAACAGCAGCTCCAGGGAGGAACAGGAACCCCAATTCCAACGTGTTCACAGGGCTCCCCAGTTCCCAGATGGCCTCAGCAAACACAGAAATGACCCTGCAGGGTTTGTTCAGGAGCCAGGTTGCTGATGGCAAACTTTCCCTGCCGGAACAGCCCACACCAAATTATCCCAGGACTTTGCTCGTGTGTTAAGTTATGTACACGAGGGAAGATAAGGAGAAACCTCGGGACAAAGCTGCAATTTGAGAAGCCCAGAGCACTGCTGACCTTCTCCCTCCCCCCTGCACCTCTGCCATGTCCATCTCCAGCTTTCCAAGCTTTCCTCTCCCTCCCAGGGGTTCCTGCAGGGCGGGTGGGGATGGAACAACCACTGGCAGCTAATCCAGCAGTTCAGCAGCTGCCCCCGGCCTTTCAGAGTGTGACAGCTCTTGGGCCAGATGCCAAACGTGTCTTAGGCCTTAATCTCTCTCTCAGGTCACCTATCCCCTGTCAGTCAAGCCCTGCTGCCGTGGGGGCAGCTGGCACAGATGCCACCAGACAGGATGCACAGCCACTCTGCAGGATTAGCATCAGCCAGACCCCCCCTCCTCGGCGCTTGCTCCTCTTTGCCCTCCCCAGCATCCTCCCACCTGAATCTGCCTGGCTTTGGGAGCACCTGCTGCAGGAATTGGCATTTAGGACTTCCCAGAAAGGGCTTTTCCCAGCCTGGTGCTGTGGCAGCAGCTCCAGGGCTGTTTGCAGTGACCTTGCTGGGACGAGAGCGCTGCTGGTGTGTAAATAACTCCCTGCTGGGAGCCAAGCAGGGGGGGTCAGCAACCCCTGCCAGCTTTTCCTCCCCCCCAGCCTGTAGCAGATCCAAGGCCAGGGCTGCAAAGCTGCTGGCACAGGCTCTCCCTGCTCCCCCAGCTCTGTGAGTCTCCTCCAAAGGTCCATTTGCCATTTTTTTCCCTTTCTCCTTGTGCTTCCTCTGGCTGGAGCCAGTGCACAAGTGGGTGAATGTTCCCTGCACAGGGCCAGTGTGTGGCCACGCTCTGCTGCACCCAGAAGGGCCCATGCTCATGAATTCCTACATGCAAATGCTTTATTCCTGCCCTGTGCAGGAATTCCCATTTCCCAAAATTCCCTTTTTCATCCTGCCCTGTGCACGCAGCTTTGGGAAAACCATTTCCATGGCCAGGCTGAAAATTGGGAGTCTAGGTGGGAATATCCACAGCCAGGATGCAAATGGCATCACACAGGTTTGAATATCCATGGGCAGGATAAAAATGGGATCACACAGGTGTGAATTTCCAATGGGATCACACAGGTGTGAATGTCCACTGGGGTCACACAGGTGTTTAAGTCCATGGGCAGGACAAAAATGGGGTCACACAGGTGTGAATTTCCAATGGGATCACACAGGTGTGAATGTCCATTGGGGTCACACACATTTGAATGTCCACGACCAGGATAAAAACAGGATCACACACATGAATATCCATGGCCAGGATGCAGATTGGGATCACACAGGTGAATGTCTATGGCCAGGATGGAATCATACAGGTGTGAACATCCATGGCCAGGATGCAGATTTGGATCACACAGGTGAATATCCATGGCCAGGATGGGATCACACAGGTGAATATCCATGGCCAGGATGCAGATTTGTCTCACACAGGTGAATATCCATGGCCAGCTCTCTTTGCAGGACCACCACACACGTGCAGTCCATAAGCACAGCCTTTTACTCTGTCACCCACTGCCTGCAATAAATAGTTACATGTCACACTACATGGCTTGCCTGCGACTGACAAAGGTCCTGCAAGGCAGGAGAAGCTATTAGGGGAACAGATTGCTGGAATAAAATATTAAATTTCCACTTATCAATCTCTTTAATGCACCATAACTCTCAGAGAAGCATTCAGCCTTCTCCCTCTGAACAAATTGCCCTCCCCATCAGGGGGCTGGAGCAGCCCTGCATTTTCCTCTCTGGGGCCTGGAGGGAAGATTTTGGGTGGCAAAAGGGGGGAGAACAGGGAGACAGAAAGGGGAAAAGCTGCTGCAGGCTTTTCTCTGCATCAGCCTTCTGTGTTGTTTTTTTTTCCCTCCCAAGGCTGGCTGCTCACTAGATTGAACTCCATTTATTGCATGCAGCTCTTGAAAGAGGTTTCGTGGTCCACTGACAATCCCTAAATTGCCTGCAAGACCCAAACAAATGTACCTGTAATAGCTGAGTGAGGAGGGTGAGCCCTCCCCAGCACCGGCCTAATCGCTCCTCAGGGAGAGCTGGATAAACATATTCAGATCCCATGAATTATTAAAGGATTTTTTTTTTATTATTACTATGTGGTGCAGGCCTGGCCTGTGGGGCTGGCTGTTAATCCCTCCTCACAGGGCAGCTGTGGGTGTGCCCTTCATTCCCTCTCATTTAACCTCAACCCCACTGCCAGGACCTTTGGGAACCAGCTGAGATTGCAGGCAGGCAGACACCAACACAACCCCAAAAATCCTGCCAGCCCTGCCAGCCCCCGTTTCCTCTGTGCTGCTGGAGCCTGAGAATGATGCCCTTTTCCAGTCCTTTGTAAAAACACCTGGGAAAGAGACAATTTCAAATTCCAGAGGGGGAAATCCACAGCCCCTCGTGTCTGGAGGAGCCTGTGCAGGTGAGCTGGTGCAGCCACCTTCAGTGCCACTGTGGTGCTCAGACACATCAAAAACAGGCAGGAAACACGAAGAGAGAGCTGTGCCTGCTGTGCTGACACCCCAAATGATAAGGGGTGGCTGGACAGGCAGGATGACAGCAAGAAATGGACACAGAGGCTATGGAGGGATGGAAAGTGAGAGCCTGTCACTCTCAAAGTCTTCTTCAGTCCCTGCTCCACCTCCTTCTGTGTCTGGGGGCTGACCTTGGAGGTTTTTAAGCTCTGCTCACTGTTTCAAACGTGCCCCAAGGTTCTGGACACTGTGTGGGACGGATTTCTGCTGCCAAAGGGAGTCAGCTCAGCTTGTACCAGGCACTGCCCCAGGAACACCGAGGTGAAAACTCCTCAGCAGCTGATTGTGGCCATGACCTTGCCCTGGTTTTGGGTGCTTGGGCAGGGCCGGGCACAAAGGGTTTTGTTCTTCCAGTGCCTTTCCCTGGCACAAGAAACAGCCCCCAGAGAAATGGCTGTACCAGGAGCAGCTCAGCAGGCAGGGATCCAGGACACGAGGTGTGAATGAAGGGCCTGCTCCGGTGATAACGATCATAAACAAATACCGGGTAATTAGCATCTAATTAGCACATCCCATCCATTGACCTCCAAGCACTTGGATAGAGGAAGCTTAGCCTGGTTTGCCCAAGTTACGGAGAGGGGAGCTGAGGTGCTGAGGTGCCAAACACGGAGTTATTGCTAATTTTAGCTGTCCCAGACTCGGCTCTGTGCTTGCTCAGCGTTTACCAGCAGAGGAAGCTGGTGGAGGGGGCTGGGGTTTCATCACCCTCAGGTCAGACAGCTCCCCAAGGACTGGGGTGGCAGGAGAGGCTCTGACTGCCCTGGGCTGGGCAGAGCAGGAGGTGACAGCGCTGGGAGCCTGTTCTGTGTTTCCCGTGCCTTGGAAGCCCCCAGTGCACCTCATTCACCTCCCTGCCCACCCTGTCCGGGCTCTCTGCAGACCAGAGCTCGCTGCAGTGTGGCTGTGCCCCACCTCACTGCTCCAAGAGGCATTTCCAGCCCTCCTGATAACACCAATGGCTCCTTTTGCCCCAAAGGAATAGGATAAATGTCCCTTTCCTGCTCTCAAAGCACCCCCAGCCACTTTTCCCCTCAGTGATGTCTCACAATGTCACTCTGACTTTCAGAAATCAGGTTACTGCCATATGTTATTTCTTCTCTTGAAGCTATTTCTTGACATGACTTTCTCTCCCTGACACTCCCTCAGCTTGCCCACATGTCTTTCCCTCCCTCCTGTGGCCACAGTGCTTTGCAGGCCCTCAGATCCCTTCTGTCTCCTGGGACATCACAGCATCACTTCCCACTGCCTGCAGCCTGGGATGTTGTTCCTCCCTGGAGCCCAAAGCTCCTACAGCACCCACAGGGATCCCTGGCAGGCAGGTGAGTGAGTTCACAGAGCAGGAACTGCTCTGCAAGGAGCTCAAATGAAGAATCATGAGAATTGCCCAACATCAGGAACACCAAACACCATCGTGGACAAGTGACTCATCCATCTCCTGCCTTTCTGGCAGTCCACATCCTCATCCTGCCCCTTGTTCTGATCAATATCCCCTGATGTGCCTCTGCTGTTAACATGTACAACAATCTCTCTGAATCCAAAGCAGAAGACGAGGGGAGAACAAACTGAATTGGTGTAAGAAAGAAAAAAGGCCACGAGAGGAGAAGAGAAAACCCACAGTAAAGCAGTGCAACACCAGCACCAAGCCAAGAACTCCACTGCCCCATTTCCCTCAGGAGATTCCCACCCTCGAAAGGAGACAGTGTGACTGAGGAGATGGAGCTGTGTTACAGACACATTTTTTGTCTTTAGGATTTTTTTCTCCTGAGAAGCTGAGAGGCCTCAGGAACAAAATGCAAACAATGGTTATCTGCTGCTGTGGAATGCAACAGGTGCATCTGGGATTGGGCTCATGTGGTTGTTTCTCATTAATGGCCAATCACAGCCCAGCTGGCTCGGACTCTCTGTCCGAGACACAAACTTTTGTTATAATTTCATTCCTTTTCTATTCTTAGCCAGCCTTCTGATGAAATCCTTTCTTCTATTCTTTTAGTACAGTTTTAATATAATATATATCATAAACTAATAAATCAGCCTTCTGAAACACGGAGTCAGATCCTCGCCTCTCCCCTCATCCTCAGACCCCTGTGAACACAGAACTGCTCACACCTTTGTCTCCCTCCCCACCATTTTTTCCCATGCTGCAGAGCAGCCCAGGTGCTGTCCTACCTGTGACATTGACCTCCACCAGGCCCGAGCGTGTCCCGATGGCGTTGGTGGCCTCGCAGACGTAGGTGCCAGCCACGCTGTAGGACACGGGCCCTTTGAAGTAGATGGTGTTGTTCTGGATTTCCACACTCCCTGGCAGGGTCCCGTTTGGCCTGGGGGGGGACAGAGACAATGTTTGACCCCACAGGTGACACCCAAAGGTGACAGCAACGTTCTGGGTCTGTGCTTGTGGAAGCTGGAGGTGCTGGCTGGAAAATCCCCATTAATGCAGGTAGGAAAGGGACACAACCAGAGCTTGTTTTAAGCCCAATTTCCTGCCCATTTAACCCTCCTGATCAGCCAGGGTTAATTTCAAGCACAGCAGTGTTGATTTAGAGCCCTGCCCATGTCACAATGCGTGAAACTGGAATTATGCAAAACTAAACCCGGAGATACAGAAAATAAATTGACAAAGGCAGATGAAAAAATTTAAAAAAAAAAAGCCCCTGTGTGTTAGGAAAAGACACACATGGCCTGGTTATTCTTAATTACTGAAGCAAAGTAAAGTAATTACTCCTCTTAGGCAATTAAAAATTACTCAAGTAATTCCTTCCCCTCCTCCCAACCCAAATGTGCACATATTGTCAGCAATTTATAAGAAACAAAAGGGAATAACGGGGGTATAATTAGGATTGTAAAGAAGTGCCCAAATGCATGTATTCTGCATGTCTGTATGTACACATATGTACAGAAAACAATTTTTCCAGCTGCATCAAGCCAATGATTCCCAAGATGATGGAAAAACACCTTAACCATGGTCCTATAGAGCTCTGAACCTACAAAAACAAGAGCACAGGGTGCTCAAAAGGGTGGTGTGGGATTGCTGCCTCCTGTGAGAGCTCCCCTGACTGCTGCTCATCACCACCCAAATGGGAGGAGAGGAAAAGCACGGCTGGGTTTTAGATTCCAGGCACAGAAATTGCCTCAAGTGGCATCTCTTCTGCCTTGGGTGTGTTTTTGCCTCTGAGGCTTTCCTGGAAATGTTGTGAGGAACCCAGAGAGCCCCTCAGAATTTAAGTCAGACTGGCAGAACCAACAGATGGAGAGAGCTGGGGATGGAGAACTAGGAAAAAAGGCAAGAAAAACAATCCTCTTCAGACTTTCACTTTGAACAGTTTGATCTGGGAAGTGGAATGAGAGAGAATGTGCTCCTTGCAAAGCCATGTTGAGAGCCTCTCTCCTGATGACAAATGCCAGCTGAAAAGAAGAAAGGATCCATTTGATCTTCCTCTTTTAAAGCTACATGAGTGCTTACAGAGAAGAAAGAGCAGCAGGAGAACCACATCAGGTTGTATCAATTCCCACCTGACTGCCCAGACACCCCTCACTCACTTTTCAAGTCCCTTTAGTGTGTTCAGCCAAAAGCTGGAAACCTGAGGACAAGGAATTGCTGCTGTTTAATGCCAGTCACGTGAGGAGCTGATTCCAGGGGAAGGTTGTTCACACACACACACAAATTTTCTGTTATTTGTGCCTTTTCAAAGCAGGGCAATCCTGGGTTCTTTCCCAGCTCTGCTGCCCAGGCACATGGATCACCTTGTCACATCTCAGCTGCCTCATGTCACCAGGGCAGGATATGATCCCAGTGAGGTGAGAAGGGGGAGTTTTCCCTGGGTATTGAGGCTGCACTGAGCTGGCAGTCACCCTCACCACAGGCATAGGCTGTACCTTGGGGTGACACCGCTGACACTAATGGGACTGGGCCCTAAGTGACCACAGGGTGAGGGAGGTGTCTGCAGAGACTCCTTGTCCCTGCTGGGAGGTGACATTTGCTGCTGGCAGCGGGGCTCTGGGGACACTTACAGCTTCCACTCGTAGGTGTGAGCTGGGGGGTTGGCATCAGATTTGCAGATCAACTTCACATCCTTGCGGTTCAGGAACCAGTTGCCATCAAAGCCCTCGATGGTGACTTCTGGCTCATCTGCAGGGGTGGGGGGAAAGGGAGGAGAGCAGGGGGGGGAAGGAGAGAGGAAAGGGTTGTGGGAAAGGGGAGAAAATGAAATAGGGAGAGATGAGGGGGCAGGAGTGGGGGATGGAAAGATTTAAAGGAGGGAAAGGTGATGGGATGAGGAATGTGGGAAAGGAAAGGGGAAAAAATGAAATAGGAAGAGATGAGGGGGAAGGAGTGGGAGAAGGAGAGTGAACACAAGGAGGGAAAGATGATGGGACGAGGAATGTGAGGGAGTGCAAAAGAGAGAGAGAAGGGGAGCAGGAGGGACATGGCAGAGGCAGAGAAAGAAGGTAAGAAAAAGAGAAAACCCACAATTATTCCAAAGGATCCTTTCAGTTCTCACTCTCAAAACCACAACCGCAGCCCCTCCACCAGCCCAAACCCCTCCTTCTCCAGAGCCTCTCCCCCGGGCAGCCCCGAGCAGGGGGAGCCCTCCCAGCTGTGCCAGGCCCCTTACACTGCACGTTGAGGGTGATGCTGTCGGTGAACCTCTCCAGCTGGTAGTTGACCACGCACATGAGCTGCTGGCGGTGCGCCTCGCGGCTCGGCACCAGCCGGTACCGGCTGATCACCGTGATGGTGCCGTTGCTGTTCCGGATCTCCTGGAACTCCGCCTCCCCCTTCAGCTTCGTGTCCCAGGTGACGGTGCTGGGGGGTTTCCCGTTGGAGGAGGTGCAGGTGGCTACCAAGATCTTTTCTGTCCTGCCAGACTTGGCGATTAGAGGCCTCTTGGTGCCCTCCATCCAGTTCGTGGGCTTGGCTGTAGGGGAGTGAAGAAAGGAGGAGGAGGAATGTCACAGACATGTTTTATGAAAAATCTTTTCTTTAGGATTTTTTCTCTTGAGAAGCTGAGAAGCTTCAGAAACAAAATGGAAACAATGATTATCTGCTGCTGTGGAATGCAACAGGTGGATCTGGGATTGGGCTCATGTGGTTGTTTCTAATTAATGGCCAATCACAGCCCAGCTGGTTCAGACTCTCTGTCGGAGCCACAAGCTTTTGTTATCATTCTTTCTTTTTCTATTCTTAGCCAGCCTTCTGATGAAATCTTTTCTCGTATTCTTTTAGTATAGTTTTAATATAATATATATCATAAAATAATAAATCAAGCCTTCTGAAACACCGAGTCAGATCCTCATCTCTTCCTTTATCCTAAGACCCCTGTGAACACGGTCACAGAGGAGGAGGAGAAAAGGGTACAAAGGGATGGTTAGAAAAGCAGTGCTGCTGGGTTTGCTACACCCCCAGAGCCATCTAACACCACTGAGGCTGTGACAGGGCTTGTGGTGAGTCCAGAGTGTGCAAATTGTCAGCAATAATTCCCATGTAGTAATTGCTTTATGGCAGTGTCTATGCACCTTGCACCATCTACCTGCATCATTTATGGGGAAACTATGGTGGAGGTGCCCTAAATGCACAGATATATGGAAAGTAAGCCCTTTCCTCCCAGAGGTTTCCATCCCTGTGTTAGAAAGGAACTGAAATTGGAGAGAAATCAACTCATGTAGACCTTGGGTGGTGTCTGTTCACTCACAGCCCTGAGCTCCAGGGACAAGCTCTACTTGAGTTTAGGATCAATCTGTTGTTTCTTCTCTCTTGACAGCCCCAGCTCATTAAAACTCACCACTCCCACAGGGACCTGGTCACTGTTACTGCACCTACATCAGGAGTGTAGGTGGAGGGAAAAGGGGAACTGAGGCCTGGAAAAAGAAGAGGTGTGACAGCTCAGCTCTCTCAGAACCACCTGCTTTGTGTTCCCTGCTCTTCACCTCTTCCCAGTCAACTTAGAAATCCATCCCTGCTACAATTTACACCCCAAATTTGCCCCGAACTCCCAGGATGTGAATCTCAGCTTCCTCCAGCTCTGTTGGACTGGAGGTTCACCCTGCAGAGCCTGCCCAGAGCCTTACCCAGCACGGTGAGGTTCAGCTGCCCTTCCCGGTTGCCGGTTGGGAAGGTGGCAAACTCACAGATGTAAACGCCCTCATCATCCAGCTCCAGCCGGGACAGCTGGATGGTGCCATCCTTGAAGGAAGGGTTGCGGAAAGTCACCCTCTCCTTGTAGGGGGACAGGATGGACACGCCCATGGCGGGGTTGTAGATGGCCACATTCTGCTTGGTGCCGTTGGTGGCCTTCTGCCATGTCACCTGCGTGATCTTCACGGCGGGCAGCGGGTTGGTGAAGCTGCAGTGCAGCACCACGTCCGTGCCGATGAACCCCGAGACGGTGTCATTGACCAAGACACTCTGAGCTTGCAGCCCTGCAATGAAATGGCAACTTGTGAGCGTTTGGGGACTTCCCAGAAGCATTGCGGTTATTGGCATCAGGCTCAGGAATTTCCTCTATTTATTCCACTTGTTTCACAGAGTCACAGAATGACCAGGTTGGATGAGACCCTCAAGACCATCGAGTCCAACCCAGCCCCAACACCCCAACCCTGGCACCCAGTGCCACATCCAGGCTTTGTTAAACACACCCAGGGATGGGGACTCCACCACCTCCCTGGGCAGAACATTCCAGAACTTTATCACCCTTTCTGTGAAAAACTTTTTCCCAATATCCAACCTGTATTTCCCTTGGGGCAGCTTGAGGCTGTGTGCTCTGGTTCTGTCAGTGCTGCCTGGAGAAAGAGCCCAGCCCCAGCTGAGCACAGGCACCTTTCAGGAGCTGCAGAGAGTGATAAGGTCACCCCTGAGTCTCCTTTTCTCCAGGCTAAACAACCCCAGCTCCCTCAGGGGTTCCTCACAGGGTTTGTGTTTCTTTTTGACATGGCTGATACAAGGGCAATTTGTGGCTACAGGCACCTTCTGCATCCACCTGCAGCTTCATTCTTGATCATAAACACCTTCCTCCCACTATGACCAGCCTAGGGCTCATCATCATCATCACCCAAAGGCACAAGGCTGGATCAATAACACCTTCCTCCCTTTTGTCTTCAGCTCGGGGTGACACTGAGTCAGTTGTGGCAAATATGCAGGGCATGTGTGTCTGCAGGCATGTGAAAGCCCTGATGTTTATCAGCACAGCACATCCCAACATATGCTAACACACACTCAGACATCCATTTAATCCCATTGGAGCTGCAGCAGTAATTAAAGGAGCTGCAAAGACCCAGCCCTCATTTCAGGGCAGCAATAATTCCCATACAAGAACAACGTTAAGGCACTGCCTCTACACCTTGCATGATCTCCCTGTATCATCCAGATCATTTCTGTGGCCTTTTTATAACCCCAGAAATGGCTGAATTTAGGAACCTTCCACCCTGATTCTGTGGAAGGTGCTGGTGAAAAGTGGGAGCTGCAGTCCATGACAGCTCTTCTGTCTCAGTTGATTCCTCCCCTGACAGATGGAGAAAAGCATCTCCCACCAGACTGACCCTGAAATTCATCTTTGTTGCCACTGTGTCTTTTCCTAATCTGTGTGTTTAGAGATAATGCTCTGGTAATTATACAGCCAGTATTTGTATGATAAATACAACAGGGAGGCAAGGTGGGAAGAACGAGAAAAGCGGGTTTTGCTCCCAGCTTCTGGGAGAATCTGCAATTGGATGGATTCTGGGAGCTGGGCAGGAAAAGAAAGAAAGGGATAGTTAAAAAAAGAAAGATAGAGAACTCTTTCATGTTCTGCACAGAGAATGAGGAACATGAAAGAGTAATGGAACAGAGAGAGGGGCCGGGGAAAGAAAAATGCAGAGCAAGAGAAACAAGACAGCACCTCCTAACAGAAATGTCACCCTGCTCTGTTCTTCCAGGGATGAATGGCTCCCTGTCCAAGGCTAAAATAAACTCCTCAGTGTTGGTCCCCGTGGCAGATGTGCCCTGGGACCTCTCCAAGAGTCTCCTTCCTGCAGTTTCACAGACACACACATGAGTGCAGGCAGACAAAACTCTTCTCCACCCACACTCCATGTTGCCCCCTCACTCCCTGCCTGCTGTTCCCAGCCTCACCCTAATCCCCACATCTCATCCATGCCTCTTCTCTCTCCCTTCTCCTTCCTGTGACCCTGAGGACAAGCCCCAACAACCCAGCCTGGCCACGAGACGCCACCAGCTGACCACAGCCATCAGCAGTTCCGACCGAAACTCGGCCTCCAGAGCTTTGTGTGGACTTGCCCCCTGCTCCCCGAGCCAAGCCCCACACCCCAACACTGAAGCTGGGTGATCAGGAATGTTCTCCAAAGCTTCTTGCAGCCACAGCAAAGCGCTGGTGCCCTCAAGTGCCTGCACACACAAAGCCACCGTGTCCTCTGGGGCTGGCAGGGTGCACCCTTCCCCTCCCAGCACAGCCAGGGCCATCTTCCCCACAGTTTTCTCCCCACAAAGCAGACGGTTGGGATGTCCTCACTCTGAGAAAGTCACATCTGGACCATGTTTCCCCTCTGGAGAGGGATGTCCCAGCAGCAGGACACAGTGCAGGACATTTCTACCACCAGCACCCACAACATCCTCCCTGATGAAACGAGGGCACAGGCTGGGTTTAGACGAGGCCACGCTGGGATCTGAGGGAAGAACGGGGGCACAGGGGAGGGGGAGATGTCTCCACCATGCTGTGCAGCATATGCTGCTCCTTCCACCCCAGAGGTGAGCATTGCCCACACTCGCCGAGGTGAGGAACAGCTTTGCCAGGCAGTCTGGCTCGGAAGGCTCCAGAGCCTCCCAGAGCGTGTGGGAGCTTGCTGGGGAGCACTTCAATCACGTAGCCAGGGCCTTGGGAACGGCCCAGCCCGGGTGGGTGTGCTCAGCACTCCCTCAGCTCCCAGGGCCGGGGCAGCGCCGAGTCATGAGCGCCTCCTCCACCGAGGGCCGCTGCCCCCAGCGGAGCCTGCCTGGGGCTGGGGCGCTGCCACAGGAGCTGGCTGTGCTCCCCACAGGGGCCGGCCCTGCTCCCCACAGGAGCTGGCTGTGCTCCCCACAGGGGCCGGCTGTGCTCCCCACAGGGGCCGGCTGTGCTCCCCACTGGGGCTGGCCCTGCTCCCCACAGGGGCTGGCTGTGCTCCCCACAGGGGCTGGCTGTGCTCCCCACAGGGGCCGGCTCTGCTCCCCACAGGGGCTGGCTGTGCTCCCCACAGGGGCTGGCTCTGCTCCCCACAGGGGCTGGCTCTGCTCCCCACAGGAGCCGGCTCTGCTCCCCACAGGGGCTGGCTGTGCTCCCCACAGGGGCCGGCCCTTCTCTCCACAGGGGCCGGCTGTGCTCCCCACAGGAGCTGGCTCTGCTCCCCACAGGGGCTGGCTGTGCTCCCCACAGGAGCTGGCTCTGCTCCCCACAGGGGCCGGCTGTGCTCCCCACAGGGGCTGGTCCTGCTCCCCACAGGGGCCGGCTGTGCTCCCCACAGGGGCTGGCTGTGCTGGGGCCGGCTCTTCTCCCCACAGGGGCCGGCTCTGCTCCCCACAGGGGCTGGCTGTGCTCCCCACAGGGGCTGGCCCTGCTCCCCACAGGGGCTGGCCCTGCTCCCCACAGGGGCTGGCCCTGCTCCCCACAGGGGCTGGCTGTGCTCCCCACAGGGGCCGGCTCTGCTCCCCACAGGGGCTGGCCCTGCTCCCCACAGGCTCCCTGACCCCCCATGGGGCCCGGCGGGGCCCTTTGAACCGGCGTTTCCACAGCCCCACAAAGCGGCCCGGCGCAAGAATTCAGGGCTCAGCGTCTCCTCTGGTGCCTGGGAGCAGCAGAGGAGCCAAATTGCAGGCAGGAGAGGGTGAAAGGCCACCAGATTCTCCTCAGAGTCACCCCTGCAGGGCTGGCAGTCCCTTGTGGCATGAGCACTGCCAGGCTGAAGGCCTCCACTGATGTGCCACACGAATGGAGATAAAGTCATTCAACTTGCAGGGAATGTGATGGATGGCACAGGGGAAGTCAGTCTAGTCCCTCATTCCATCCATCATTACTGTGCCCTTCCTTTATGCTGTGATCTCCCTGCAAATTAATGAACTGACCCTTTTAAAAATCAAGTTATTTATCTTGGCCTTGAGCAACAGCAACAATTCCCAGTTCTACCCTCCCCCTGCCATGGGACCCATGCATCAAAACAGTCTGGACTTGGACATAAATTGGAGGAAAAGTGGATTTTGGAGATGATAAACCTGATCCTGAACCCACAATGGTCCTGCAGAACCCTCCTGTGCTCAGGTGTGAAGAGCCAGACTTCTGGCCAGGGAAAAAGCTGGTGCCAGTTGAGTGAAGACAGCTTGCCAACAGCCAAATGCTGCCAAAGCTGGGATTCAGGCCTTTACATGCAGCAGCCTTGACAAAAACACATTCCAAACTTTCTCAGGGCTTCAGGGGAAAAGGGAAAACAAAAAAATAACACCCGGCAGAACAAAATAACAAAACAAACAAAAAAAACAACACCCTGAAAAACCCCAAACACAGCGCGGAAATCGCGTTTCCTTTCCAGGTGACTGAACAACTCTTTTGCAAGACAGGAAAAACTCTCTCTGTTCCACTCACCTAAGCCTTAAATCAGGAAAACAACGCACCCATTCTGCTCCAGGAGCACCCACACCTTAATGCAGCGATGAGGAAGGGGGACAGATAGGGGAAAGGGGTTTGGGAGGTTGTTGGATCAGTTTCCCATCCTAAATCAGAAGCCAGAGGGCAAACCTGGCTGCTGCCACACTCTGGAGAGTGCTCGTTTGAGTACTTGTTTGCAAGGTGACTGAGCTGGGCTGACAGGCCTTCCCTCGCCCCGTTACACACTCAATAATTCATCAGGGCAAATGCATAGATAATTGATGGCAATGAGCACGCACGGCCGGCAGAGGAGGAGAAAATAAAATCACTAATCAGCCTCTGGAGAGGTTTGAACATATTCAGCTGGATGTGTGTGTGTGTGAAGTGCTGGGATTGGCCGCGTTTCTCCTTTTGCTGAATGATCCGTGTGCTTGGTAGGGCAGGGAGAAAGCTTGGGATGAATCCTGCCATTTTCACACCCCAAGATCTCCCAGTGCCCACCAATCCATGCTGACACCTCCCAGGGGCAGCCAGCACCCGAGCAAGGATTAGCTGGATGGGTTGCAGCTTGCCCACTTGCATTTTATTCATTAGTTTTGTGGTGTTATTTTTTGTCGCGGACCAAAAAGGGCCCAGCCGTGTGCCAAAGACTTGTTGGTGCCAAGACCTCATTAGTGCAGACCTCAGAGATCCTACTCCTCCACCTTGGCCTCTGAAGTGGTTTGTGTTGATGCCTTTCCCCACGATCCCAACCCCAGATATTCACCGAGGCCTCGGGGGCTCCGTGCACAGCTCGGGGTGCCCTGAGGCTCA